GGTCGTGGCACGGCTCACTATGGCGTCGCAGAGGCGCATGTCGTAGTCGAGAGCTTGAGGCCCAGGGCCGCCCTCGGCATCCCAGTACAGTACCACATCTCGCCAGCGGGTGCGGGTAGTGTGGATGCGCTCGGCGATAGACTCGCAGACGGTCCTGACTGTGACACGATCCCTATGCATGTTGGTGATGGCTAGGGAGTAAGGTCGGCGGACCGTTTTGTTGAAGATGAAGTCCTCCTTGAGGGCCTGGTGGGGGCCGAAGAGCACGTAGCCTTCCCTCCACAGCGGTTGGTCGGGAGACGGGTCTTCAGGCATCCCCGTTCCTGTGAACCCAGGTGGCCGCCTCGTGCCGTCGGGCAATCCCTGCTTGAGGACGCGACGCGGCCTCGGTGGAAGATACCATTGACCCTGGTAACCTGCTTGGCCTGGTTGTGGAGGCTCCCCCCCGGGGCCTGAAGGCGCTCGGGGGGGTTCCTTGAGGTCGTGCTGGGCTGGCGCGTTGCCGTATTGGCGGGCAAGGATGTGCGGAGGCATCCCTGTGGCACGGACGTCGAACAGGCTGTGCGGACTAGGCGGATGGGGGCACCTGCTGGAGAGGCAGCATGTGTCGGAGTCCCTGTTGTCGGTGCTGTACGCACACGTCCAGCTGTTGCAAGAGTAGTCCGTGGACCAGTCCATAAGTGCACGTAGTCCGCTGAGGGAGCAGTCTGGGCACGTTGGTTGGCCCGAGGTGCCGAGCTGCGTGTTGCGGCGGGCCGCACAGTACTGACAGCATTGGAATCGGCACTGTAGGCATGTCCAGCGTCCTGGTAGGGGCGGGAGCGCTTGCTCGTTGGTGCCTGCGTCGTCTGGGTGGGGTCGGGGTCGATCCCACAAGGGCCAGACGTCGGCGAACCAGGACTGGCCTGTAGTGCGGACCACCTCAGCGGGGAGGCGAGCGTCGTCAGCATGGCGCTCGATCCACTGGGGCCCCAGGTCCGCTGGGATCATGACCGTGCGCCAAGTGTCGTCCGCCTTGACGTGGACTTGGGTCGGTGCCCAGAGCCTGGTAGTGGTATCGCCATGGTCGTGGTGGAGGATGACCCAGCCGTCGCGACCCGCAACCGCAGGGTCGATAACGCGGTGGCCCACGACGGTCGTCCCCCACGGTAAGTAGGCGCCGTCGTGGTGCTCGCCCGGGTCAAGCCAGACCTCGATGCCAGGGGCATTGACACGGGCCCGCACATCGCGGACGTGGAAGGCGAGGACGTGGTAGGCGGTCGGCTCCTCTTCCGTCTCGATGTGCTCCCACGTCTCGATGTCGCTGTTGTCCGAGGTGGAGTTTCCGCCGCTCTGCCGTGACGAACGCGAGGCGGATCGCCGTGGGCGGGCATGGCCTCGGGCGAGGGCGGCGGCCGCGCTGATGAGGGACGGCGCACGGCGGTCGTCGGCTCCCGATGTCGTCGATGAGCGGTCTGGACTGTGTCCCAGGGCGGCACCTGACTGGTAGGTGCGCGGTGGGCCAGACGCGGCCCCAGGGCTGGAGCCGCTGGGGCGCGGCTCTCGTGCGTCGGACTGCCCCCGCACGGGGACGGCTTGCAAGCCAGTGTACACCAGGTCGATCAGTGGCTGCGGGTCCAGCTGGAGCTTGCGAAGCGAGACGCGTGGACGGGGCTGGTTGGGGTCGGCCCTGGTGGCGGCTTCGGTGTCGTAGTGCTGTTTAGCCCATGCTCGCGCTGCCTCTGGCGAGTATAGTGCCTGCGGCGGTGGCCACGCTGCCGCGATGTCCAGCCTGCGCCAGGTGTTAGCTTCCTGGTCGCGGGCTTCAGCCGCCTCGCGGAGGTCTGGGTGATCGTAGCCGGCGATGTGGAGGGCGTGCGCACAGTCGCCCATGCCATAGGCTTGTGGTAGGGCACGGCACCTGGAGGCAGCGTCCGTGGGGGCACACCAGTCCATGCGGATGAGGAGGCCCAGGACCCGAGGGTAGATGAGGCGCGCTCCGTGGGCCTCCCCTTTCACGGAGTTGTGCCAGTTCTCACCGCGCGGCGGTTGGGTAGCCTCGCACATCCAGAGCGCGATGGGTCCCCACGCGAGGGTGTCGTCTTCGAGGCTGTAGGGCGGGCGAGGCGGCACTGCGTACCACGCGGCCAGCGACGGGTGCACACTCACGTACGTGCGGCCAACATTTGTTGCGGTTCGACCCTTCGCTTCACGGCGGGGGCCTGGCAGGAGGTGATCTCCGTTGAAAGCGAGACGAGCCGCAAGGTCGCCGCGGGTCCCGTGCCAGAAGACCGTGGGCGTGTCAGTGGTGGGTTGACGGAGGTCCCACGTGAGGTAGGGGGAGATCGTCTCGCCTGAGTTCCCGCCCGAGTCTTCCAGCACCCAAGTGAGTCGGTTCGGGGGCCTCTGCATGATGTCAGTCCACGGCGCCAACGCTTGGAGCGTTGGATCATGGGTGAATCGAGGATGGTCGTGGAGTCGCAGGGCGTCTTTGATGTCCTCTGTAGTTACGCCACTGTTACCAAGCGCAAAGCCGTTTTGGTACAGGGCGGTGAGGATGCTCGTCGGCGGCACGGGGACCGCTGGGTCGCGCTGGATGGTGTTGCGTAAGTTGCGCGTCGGTGGCCTGAGGGCTGGGTGGGGCGTACCAGGGCCTGGAGGCGCCTGGGGCCTGGCGGGTGATGCGTAGCGTGCTCGCCGTCGTGGTGGTTGGGTGTCCATGTCGGAAGAGGAACCACGAGCATCTGCATGTCGGAAGATGGACCACGGGCTGTCGAGGGTGCGCTCACGTGTTTCCCTTGCCTCGGCGTCGCTGGCCTGGGCTGTGGCGTCTTCGTGAGTCGGTGGGTTACCATAAGCCGCGCCGCTTATGGGGCCGTCTCGCGGGGACGGGCTGGTCGATCGTGGTGTGACAGACGAGGCTCGCGATACCGCGGCAGTGACTTCGACAATGGCGGCGGTGGTGGCGGTGGTAACATCGGCGACCGCGGCGGCAACTGCAGCAGCATAGTGTTCCTGTAGCAGCGGGTGTCGAAGTGAGTGCACGTGCTGGCTCTCGGGTTCGTCGGGATGCGTGCGCGGCATTGCGCACGTGGCCTCGTCACGCGGCCTCCTGCTCGGTTGGCAACAGAGAGAGAGAGAGGGAGAGAGAGATATATAGAGAGAGAGAGAGAAAGAGAGAAAGAGAGAAAGAGAGAAAGAGAGAAAGAGAGAAAGAGAGAAAGAGAGAAAGAGAGAAAGAGAGAAAGAAAGAGAGAGAGAGAGAGAGAGAGAGAGAGAGAGAGAGCGACGATATTTGACCATTACTATCGCAGTCTCGGAGAGGACGCAACTCCGACATCATATACAGCGATGATGTTTATTGCAAGCGCGAAAGCGGGCTAGGCGGAGGGTCGAGAGGGGTGGCCAGGGAGGGTGGAGTTGCGCGAGCCGGAGGAGTAGGAGGAGGAGGACGGTTTGGTGAGGGTGGCAGTGGAGGAGAAGCGAGGGGGGAGGTGGAGCAGTATATCGGGGGGGTGGAGCAGCAGATTGGGCGCTCTACCGCAGTTCGGCTAATGTTACAGGGGGGTGTCTTACACGTGGTGTCAGCAACGTGACGCATGCCGTGTGGTGCGAACTATCGGTCGCAGTCTCCATGGATTGTTACTTGATTTCATTATAGTGCGCGCCGTGCGGTACGTCCTGTGTGGATTCTTTCCGTTTTGCTAGCTATGTTGTGGAGATTGTGTGGTATAAGCTACGTGGTATAATGAGCATGCCTGCCAGTTGTCCGAGCACCGTGTCCGAATGGTATCCAGGTGTTTATGGCCTCTTCCGTTCGTGTTTTGAGTCGCTCCTCGGACGTCTTGGCGCCGCTGAGACTGACGAAGGCCTTCGTTCTGTGTGGAGTTGCATTCGTCGACGAAGATACGCGTTGCATGCCATGTTGTGGAGGTTGTATCGTGTAAGATATGTGACACAATGCATTTGTCTGTCAGTTTCCCTTCCAATCTTGTGTCCGACGGACCTCTCTGGGCAATGTTGTGGTGAAGTTAGGACGATGTGGACTATGACAAGTTAGGCTTTGGGCATATGTTGTGGTGAAGGGCTCCTCGCGGAGTCGCAATGCCGTCTTGGTGCCATCTTGTGGCTCTTTTGGGGTCCTGTCAGGGCCTTCTTGGGGCCCTCCTGGGGCTCTTTTGGGGCGCCTTGGGGGCCTCTTGGAGCTCTTTTTGGGAGTCTGGGAGGCGTCTTGTGGCAATCTTAGACGCGAAGACTGAAAAAACAGGGCGGCATCAATTCCTGCCCCCCTCTCGGCGGCTCAAAAAGAGCGTCTTGGGTCTCTCTTGGGCCGCTCTTGGAGCGTTCCTGGGCGCTCCTGGGACCCTTTTAGGGACCTCTCGGGCGTCTGTTGGGGCTCTGTTGGGCCATGTTGGAGCCATCTAGAGGGTCAAGAGCTCATCGTAAGCGATAAAGCGAGAAGGCCACAAACATAGGTTTTCCTTAGGTTTTGGAGCCATTTTGGCATCTTGGGGGGGGGTCCTTGGAGGGCTCGGAGGGCACTTGAAACCGTCTTGGAGCCGTCTTTGAGCCTCTTGGATGCGTGTCAAAGGCTATCTTGAGCCATCTTGAGGTACGTTGGGTCATCTTGGAAGCCATCTTGGGCTCTCTGAGGCGCTCCTGGAGCCATCTTGGGCCATCTTGGACGCTCGAACCCCTCGGCCCCCCCCCCCTGTCCAGACGCAGGAGGGGGAGGTAAACTCCCGAGCAGGGAAAGCAAGGAAGTTGGCAAAGGAAACGCTGCAAACGCTAATCTCGAGGCGATGACGACGACGATGACGACTACGACGACGACGACGACGACGACGACGACGACGACGACGACGAAGACGACGACGACGACGACGACGACGGCGACGGCGGCGGCGACGACGACGACGACGACGACGACGGCGGCGCGGCTTCCAGGAGGCCTCCATGGGGCCTCCAGGGGCCTTCTGACCAGAATCTCGAGGCGGGTCCGGCCGTGGCCGGCCCGGGAGGCGCGAGACGGCTCAGGATCTACGAACGTCCATGATCCTCCCGCTTCTCCTCGGCGCCGACATCGCCATCCTTTCGCGACGTGGGCTCCCGGATTTCTGGACCCCTGGGGCTGACTTTTCGTCCCGAGTCGTTGTTCGACGCTCCTGGGACTGGGAAACGTCTCTCGGACGAGAAACATTCGGTGGCCAGTTCGTCTGCGTCGTCAGGTCTGAGGGTCCTCTGGTCGGGTGGCCCCTTGGACCTAGGACGCATCCAGGGGCGCGTCAGGGCCAGGATTCCGGAGGAATCCAGCCGTGGCCACGAAAGGCCTACAGGAGGCCCGAGAGAAAAAAAAATCGAACCTCGAAGTTCGGAGTCCACAGACATCCGATGTCGTGATTTTTTCAATGCGGGGTCACCGGGGGTCCCGACAATTTTCCTAGGGCCGTTCGTCCGTCCTGGGTCGTTTTGCGACGGTCACGTGGCCCGTTGAGGGCCTCCGGAGTGGCCCGTCCTGGATCGAAAGCGCCGAAGAATCCCCGGACTGAAAAAGAATCACGACGTCGGAGTTCTGGATCAGAGGGCTTCTCGATCCTCCCGTCGGCACCGCCTCCAGCGACGACGACGACGACGACGACGGTCCTCGATCCTCCCGGTCGGCACGGCCTCCCAGGACCGGACGGCGTCGACGACGACGACGGCGCGTCCTCCCGCGTTCGCCCTGCCCTCCGCCAGGCCGCCGCCCCGGAGCGGGCCTTCGCGGCGCTGCCGTCGTGGTCGGGCCTGATTGACGTCGTGCCGTTCGAGCCCGCCAAGGCCCCGGGCGGCGGCCTTTTTTTTTGCGATGCTCGAAGTTCGAACTTCGAGGTTCGGCCTCTGGAGGCCGTTTCGGGGCCCTGATGCCACAGATATCGTTGTCGTCGTCCTCCTCCTCTGCCTCCTCCTCCTCTTCCTCCTCGTCCTCGTCCTCGGCGGCGAGGGCGTCGTCGTCGTCATCGTCGTCGTCGTTGTCGTCGTCGTCGTCGTCCTGGTCGTCGTCGTCGTCGTCGTCGTCATGTCGTCGGGGGGGGGGGGGGCGCGTACCTGGACGGCAAAATCACGGGGAACGCACGTCCGAGCGATGGCGAGTCCCGCGGAGGGGGACTCGTTGCTGCGGCTGGGTCGGCCCCGAGGCTCCGAGCCCGTCCCGAGAAGCCCAGGAGCCTCGGTGATGGAGGTTCGAACCTCGAGGTTCCAGGTTCGAGGAGGTTTTCTTGTCGTTTTCGGCCCCCTGAGGCCGTCTGCGGATTTCGCGACCGTCAGAAATCGATCCGTGATGAGAAGTTGCGTCGGAGGGACACTAGGGGTCTGGGGACCGATTTTGAGCCGATTTCGTCAACTTTGAGCGGGAAGGCTCACGTCGGGGTCGTTGTCTGGCCTTCGGGGCTCTCTTCGTCGCCACGACTGGCTCGATAAGCTGGTGCGTCTGGACCCCGGGAGCCGTCCGGGACCCACGGCGCCTGCGACGACGACGGCGTCGGAGCTCTGGGCCGATCCCTGGCTCCGGGCTCGGTGAGCGCCGCCGCCGACGACGATGACGACGACGACGACGATGACGACGGCTGTATTGTGCTGCTGTTGCTGGTGATGCTGTTGGTGTTCGTGGTTTTCGTGCTGTTGGTGTTTCTGATAGTGCGTTTGGTGAAGGTGGTGGTGGTGCTGCTGCTGGTGCTGGTGGTTGTGCTGCTGGTGGTGCTGCTGCTGTTGATGGTGATGGTGGTGCTGCTGGTGCTGCCGCTCGTGGTAGCGCTGTTGCTGCTGGTTGCCGTGCTGCTGCCGTTGTTGCTGGCTTGGCCGATGATGGTGGACGCAGGCAGTGCAATCACCGCCTCGGAAGCGTTTTTTTCAGAAGTTTTTCGGTTGGGGCCATATTGGGGCTCTCTTGGTGCCCTCCTGGGGCTTGTCTTGGCGCTCTTTGACGTGTTTCGGGGCCATATCGGGGTTCGCTTTGGGGGTCTGGGGCGTCTCTCGGCGCCCTCTTGGAGGCCACGCTTGAAAGAAAGAGGGCGGCGTCAATATCTCCTCCTACCTCCTCCTCCTACCTCCTCCTACCTCCTCCTCCTCTTCCCCCCTCCTCCTCCTCCTCCTCCTCCTCCTCCTCCTCCTCCTCCTCCTCCTCCCTTTCCTACATCATCCTCCTACCCCCTCCTCCGCGAGGACGCGAACGGCACCATGCACCAGGTGACCGAGGGCCGCGGCGTGCCGCAGGTGACCGAGGGCCGCGGCGTGCCGAAGGCCGCGCGACGGCTGCCGCCGCCGCCGCCGCCGCCGTCGTCGTCGTCGTCGTCGCGCGTCGTCGTCGCCGTCGTCGCGTCGCCGTCGCCGTCGCCGTCGCCGTCGTCGTCGTCGCCGTCGCTGTCGCCGTCTTCGTCGCCGTCGCCGTCGCCGTCGTCGCCGTCGCCGTCGCCGTCGCCGTCGCCGTCGCCGTTGCCGTCGTCAAGAATCGGAGCAGCTGTTTTTTCGCCAGTTTCGGCCTCCGGAGGCCCTCCACGGGCCCCTGGATCGTGAAACACCGACCCGGGACGACAAACCAGCCCCCGGGGAAGTCGTCGGGACCTTCGGGGAATTCCTAGGACAGCGCATCGACAAAACTTGGAGCGCGCGGATGTCTGGGTCAAGAATGGCCGCGTGGGCCGTTCGATCTTGAGCGGTCCCCCCTCCTGTCTGAGAAAGGCTAGCTGAGACAGCGGCGGTGAGGCAACTGCGGCCCCTGCCCGGCCCAGGTACGTTCAAAATCCTTCCCTGGACCACTCCCAGGTTCCAAACGCATCAGTTTCCCGACCTGCGTCCAGCCGCAGCGACGGGCGACCCCCCGGGTGCGAAACAAGCGAGGCTTGTCTCGGTCGGCTTTCGGGTCACCAGTCGAGCCTCTGGCGGCCGTTCGGGACGATTTCAGCACCCCCAGAACGCCCGGCGGGGGGCTGCCCTAGCTGCCCGCTGCCGCCGGTCGCCCTGCGTTTTCTCGTTGCCCTCCCAATCCTCGTCGTCGTCGTCGTCGTCGCCAGCGTCGTCGTCGTCGACGTCGTCAGCGTTGGCGTCAGCCTCCAACCCTTCCCGCCGTCGTCGTCGTCGGCGCCCCTGTCCGGCCGCTGGAAGTCGATTTCGGGCCCCGGGACCTGTCCAACCCGCCGTCAGCGGGTGCTGGCCGAACCCGCCGCCCTCGGAGGCCCTCCTCGTCGGCACGGCTGGACGCAGCTTGAAACACTGGTGCGTTTGGCCCCCCGGAGGGGTTTAGGGACCTATCTTGAGCGGATGGTGGCCGAGCCCGCCGCCCTCGGAAGCCCTCCTCGTCGGCGCGGCTGGACGCTGCTTGAGACAGCGGTGCGTTTGGGCTCCTGGAGGGGGCCAGGGACTCAACTTGAGCGGATGTAGGCCGAGGCCGCCGCCCTCGGAGGCCCTTCTCGTCGGCACGGCTGGACGCAGCATGAAACACTAGTGCGTTTGGACCCCTGGCGGGGCCCAGGGACCCATCTTGAGCGGACGCCTGCCGAACCCGCCGCCCTCGGAGGCCCTCCTCGTCGGCACGGCTGGACGCAGCTTGAAACACTGGTGCGTTTGGACCCCTGGCGGGGCCCAGGGACCCTTCTTCAGCGCACGCTGGCCGAACCCGGCGCCCTCGGAGCCCTCCTCGTCGGCACGGCTGGACGCAGCTTGAAACACCGGTGCGTTTGGACCCCTGGAGGGGCCGAGGGGCTCATCTTGAGCGGATACGGGCCGAACCCGTCGCCCACGAGTCTTGGGTGGTGACAAACCAACACACGGCGGGAACCACGGAGTTCCCAAGTTTCTGCCTTGGCTATATCTGGGAGGCGTGACGGCGAAAACTTGGGAACTCCTTGGTTCCCGCCTTTTTCTCGGTTTGGGCAAAAACAAACGCCAGGGGATGTTGTCGGTGTTTGTTTGTGCTATTTGTTGTGGGATCTCTTGGGGATCTTGGGGGTCTCTGGTCTTCTCCACGAGTCTTGGGACGTCACAAACCAACAGAAGGCGGGAACCACAGAGTTCCCAAGTTTCTGCCTTGGCTATTTCTGGGAGGCGTCACGGCGAAAACTTGGGAGTTCCGTGGTTCCCGCCTTGTTCTTGGTTTGGGCAAAAACAAACGCCAGGGGATGTTGTCGGTGTTTGTTTGTGCCATGTGTTGCGGGTTCTCTTGGGGATCTTGGGGGTCTTGGGTTTTCTCCACGAGTCTTGGGTCGTGACAAATCAACAAACGGCGGGAACCACGGAGTTCCCAAGTTTCTGCCTTGGCTAATTCTGGGAGGCGTCACGGCGAAAACTTGGGAACTCCGTGGTTCCCGCCTTTTTCTGGGTTTGGGCAAAGACGAACGCCAGGGAATGTTGCGGGTGCTTGTTTTTGTTTTTTGTTGTGGGATATATTGGGGATTTTGGGGGGCTTGGGTTTTTTCCGCGAGTCTTGGGCCGTCACAAACCAACGACAGGCGGGAACGACGGAGTTCCTAAGTTTCTGCCTTGGCTATTTCTGGGAGGCGTCACGGCGAAGACTTGGGAACTCCGTGGTTCCCGCCTTGTTCTTGGTTGGCGGCCTCTAGGGGCCTCTTGGAGACTTCTTGGGGCCATGGTGGGGGCCTTTTGGGGGCCTACTACCTACACACACGGAATCCCGCACAGCCCACACCAACGGAATCCCAGATTACCTACACACACGGAACCCCGCACAGCCCACACCCACGACACCCAAAACAACCCACACCGATGGAACCCAGAACAGCCCACACCACCGGAACCCAAAACAGCTCACACTTTCGGAACCCGAAACAGTCCACACCACAGGAACTCCAAACAACCCACACCACTGCAACCCAAGACAATCTACACACACAGATCCCCATACAGCCCACTCCGACGGCCCCCAAAACAGCGCACACCACCGGAACCCCAGATTACCTACACACACGGAATCCCACACAACCCACACCAACGGAATCCAAAACAACTCACATCGACGGAACCCAAACCAGCCCACACCACCGGAACCCCAAACAACCCACACCGACGGAACCCAAAACAGCCCACACCACCGGACCCCCAGACTACCTACACAGGGCGTCCCACGCAGCCCAGACGAACGGAACCCAAAACAGCCCACATCGATGGAACCCAAGACAGCCCACACCACCGGAACACCAAAATACCCCACAAGAACGGAACCGAAAACGACCCACGCTCAGCGAACCCGAAACAGGCCACAATGGCGGAACCCAAGACATCATACACACACGGAACCCCGAACAGCCCACACCAACGGAACCCCAGACAAGCCACAGCAACGGAACCCAAAGCAGCCCGCACCACCAAAACCCGAGCGAACGTGCACACACGGAGTCCCCGAAAGCCCATGTCAACGGAACCCAGACGACCAGCACGCACGGAACCCAAACCAACACACACACCCGGAACCCAAGCCGACTTGCGCACGCGGAACCCCATTCAGCCCACACCAACGGCGCCCAAAACAACCCGCGCCGACGGAACCCCAAACAGCCCACACCTCCGCAATCCAAGACAATCCACACACACGGAGTCCCATACAGCTCACACCAACGCCACCGAATACGACCCACACCAACGGAACCCCAAACAGCCCATGCCATCGGGATCCAAGAGAATCTACACATACGGTTCTCCATACAGGCCACACCAACGGAACCCACAGCAACCCACACCAACGGAACCCAAAACAGCCCACACCACCGGAACCCAAGACAATACACACACACGGAAGCCAAAACAGCCCACATCAACGGAACTCAAGAGAACCCACGCCGACGACTCCCAAAACAGCCCACATTACCGGAACCCAAGACGACCTGCACACGCGGAACCTCATACAGCCCACACCACGGCACCCACTACAACCCACACCGACGAAACCTCAAACAGCTGACACAATCGAAATTGAAGACAACCTACACACACGGAATCCCGAGCAGCCCACACCTATGGAACCCAAAACGATCCACACCAACGGAACCCAGATCAGCCCACGCCACCGGATCCAAGACGACCTACGCAGACGGAACCCCAAACGGCCCACACCAGCGGAACCCCCAACAGCCCACACCAACGGAACCCCGAACAGCGGTAGTGGTAGTCGTTGGCGTAGTCGTAGTAGTGATGGTAGTAAAGAGAAGATGAGCAGGAACAACCAAAACGAAATTAAAAAAGTGAAAGCGAACAAATGAAAGTGAACCTTAGTGTTAGGGTGGTTCGCTGGGATACTTTTGCTTTGTTCTCTTTCGGCGGGGAGTGAACCCCTCATGGAGGTTCGTAGCGGGACAGCACGATCACTGAAGTAATCATTTCTGGCTCAAAGGTTTCCCCTGCCGAGCGGACTCCCGGAGAGCTAGTCATAACATGGGGGTGCCTGGGGCTGCAGTGGTGCTGGATAGTCCCGTGTTGCAATTCACGGTCGCTCTTGTACTGGCGAAATTTGTTCGTGGGCTGCATGGTGTGAACTTCGCGTGCAGCATGATTTGTGCTCATTACAACACGTTTGTCAACGATTCTCGTGAGTTCATCGAGACACTGTACGACGCGGGGCACGCACTCTGCAAAGAAATGGGGGATTCGACGTACCTATCACACAAAGAAGGATTCCACACAGGCCTCAGTGGCTTGCAATTCATCAATGCCTTACGGAGAGCAGCGCCATGCAGAAAATTCATAGCAGCGCGCCGAACAATCATGCAAATCTTGAAGCGGTTTTATGAACATGGTGGTAACGCTGCGGCTTTAACCGGACATGAATTTATACAGCTAGGTGGTGCTGTGTATAAGCAGGTGGCATTGGCGGTGCATTCCGGGGTTGTTAAATGGGTAGGTGCCTATAACACCATGGAAGCAGCGAGGTGCATCGAATCGATTATCCGATGTCTTTTCAATGCCCGTCCTCTAGTATACTGCGGCCACGTCCATCGGTGGCATTGGCGACGTCAGAGCAACAAATGGAAAAAGGATGCGAAGGCAGAGGCCAAACTCTTTCACCATGCCAGTGCGGAGGACTACAACAAATCCAGCTGCCTTCGGCATGTCCCGCCACCGCGTCAGCCTAACACATTAGGTGACGATTGTTCGAAACATTATTCGACGACGGCGATGGTGATGATGATGTTGTTGATGAGGGTGATGTTGATTGTGATGATGATGCGGGTGAGGACGTTCTGGATGATGGTGTTGTACGATATTCGACTGGACGGGGTGGTCGGTCCCTTAGAGAATTGTTCTCGCTTCGCGTATTTCCACCAGCCCATCCAAAAACAGTCGCCAGGCGATCTGACCCGATCAGGGATGCGCAGCAGCATCTGACCCAGCAGTGATCCACATCCGCCGTTGAGGAGCAGTCGGAGTGAAGAGGAGAGGGCGCATTCAGAAACTGGATGGGGATGGATGAGAGGAGCAGGCGATGGGGACGAAGAGGAAGAGGATGATGATCAGGAGGAGGAAGCGGAGCACGAGCAGGAGGGGAACAATAAGTAAACTGATTATGACATAGATGGTGAGGAAGAAGGGCTCGACGACGAGGACGAAACATACGACGGCGACGACGACGACGACGACGACGAGAACAGTCAAGCACCAAGATCATTGCAGATCCGTCGCTCTGAGGGCGTCAAGTCTTGGAGGCCTCTTGGAGCCATCGCGGGGCCCTCTTGGGGCCATCATGGTGGCTTCTAGAGTCTTCTCGGTGCTCTCTTGGGGCTCTCTCGGGAACATGGGGCGCTCTTGGGGCCCCCCTGGAGGCCTTGGAAACCCTCCCAGGGCCATCTTGGAGGCTTCTTGGCCCCTCCCGGGGCTCTTTTAGGACCCTCCTGGGGCTCTCTGGGGGCCCTCTTGGAGGCTTTGAGGGCCATCGATCAAAGAAGGAGGGGGTACCTTAAGTCCCTCCCCCCCGCGGGACCCGAAAATGAGTCTCTTGGGGCGCTCTTGGGCCGCTCTTGGAGCGCTCCTGGGCGCTCTTGGGGCCGTCTTGGAGCCCTCCTGGGCCCCTCTCGGAGCCCTCTTGGGCCATCTTGGAGCCATCTGGAGGCCCCAAGAGCCCATCGGACGCGAAACGGCGAGAATGCAAAAAAAACATTGAAAAACATAACGGATTTGAAGGATTTTGGCCTCTTGGGTGCCTCCTTGGAGAGCTCGGAGGGCACTTGGAGCCGCCCTGAGGCGGTCTCGAGAGCTCTTGGATGCACGTTGATAGCTATATTGAACCATCTTGGGATATCTTACAAGATCTCGGAGGCCATCTTGAGCTCTTGAAGGCCCTCTTGGAGCCATCTTGGGCCATCTTGGGCGCTCCAATTCCTCGCGGCGCGCCCCGTCCAGGCCCAGGGGGAGGGGGTAGGGGGAGGGGGGGGGGGCCCTCCCCGAAGGGGAAGAAGGGGGTTTAGCAGAACGAGCTCCTTAGACAACTCACGCCCTAAAGGGCTGGTGGGACTACAAAAACCCTATCAGGACAGCACTTGGCATTCTTCCACGCCTCAACGTGCCCACAGGCACGGTGGCGGATACATTATGGACATGCAACGCACAGTCGAAGGGCAGGGAACAGTCACTTTTGCTACGGCAAGTGTCCATCGATGCGAAGTAAGGCATGCGATTAACAAATTTGGAGCTGGACATGTTCTGAAGCTGGCGAAGTTGGCAGAGGGCAAGAAGGTTCAGGCAGGTTTGGAGCCCACGCGCAAGATGCTCGACAAGACAACTGGTAGCGCTGACTGCTTCCTGGTCCAGATGCTCGCGAGAGTTGTATCGCTCACTGATTACGACGCGCGGTGCGCTGCTCCACGTGTCTCGCCGGTTGACTGTTTAGCAGCTTGTGCCCGAGCGAATCTGAGTCCTAAACTCGTTATCGAGGGCATTCCAGAGTGGGTCGCTTTGCGGTCGCAGCTTGCCAAGATAAACGCGCTGAGTCGAGCCACTCCTACCAATGTGGCCATGGGTCGTAGAGGTTTGGGACAGGCTCTGAAGTCTTGCGGTGTGAAACGGCACAGCCGTGGGAAACGGCTTCGTGTCGCCGACATGAAGCGGGAGCTCCGTAAGGTCATCAAACATGGCAAGGGGAATTCGTCTGCGTGGACCCGTCGGAGCAGACGCGAGTTGGAAGCAGACATGCGAAGGCTTGGAGGCAATCCGAATCCGTACAAGTCGGGTGTGCGGGTACGTATGGGGTGCGCCGCCACGAGACTGTGGCTCGCGGCACAGAAGTGATGCACGGCTATGGGAGGGCTCTACACCATGGGGTGAACGGCGCCGATTGGGTGGCGACAGACCTTACCGAGTCACAGCAGTGTCTTCGACAACGCGGTCGATACTTGGGCTGGCAGCCTGTCGGAAGCGCTTCACTTGGCAAAGAATTATTATTTGAGAATTTGGGGGTGCCTGAACTGGATGTCGAAGACAGTGTTCCGGCTGCATTTCTGCGCGGGGCGCGAGTTACTCATCCAAAAACAATCGCCAGGGAAACTGACGGGAGAAGGGAGGAAGAATCGCACATAGCGAAACAGCGTGTGCAACAACAGTGAAGTGGGAGATCTCTGGTAGCGAATGGTGTTGGTGCTGTTGTTGGTGCTGTTGCCTCTGCTGGTGCTGCTGGTGGGGGTGGTGCTGCTGCTGGTGCTGCTGGTGTTGTTGTTGATTCTCGCGTTGTAATCATTGTTTTTCCTTATGTTGTTGAAGGATTTGGGCCTTTTGGAGGCCTCCTTGGGAAGTTTTTCGGCCTCTTGACGCCGTCTTGGGGCGGTCTTGGGGCGGGAGAAATCGCCGTACCCCAAGAGGGGGAGGAAGGAGGAGGAATCGGAGGAGGAGGCGGAGGTGCAGGAGGAGGTGGAGGGCGAGGAGGAGGAAGGAGGAGGAAGATAACATGGACAAGTACGAAGATGAGGAGGAGGACGGGAAGGAGGAGGAGGAGGAGGAAGATGAGGAGGAGGAGGAGGAGGAGGAGGAGGAGGAGGAGCGAAGGAACATGAGGAGGAGGCGGAGGCGGAGGAGGAGGAGGAGGTGGGGGAGGGGGAGGAGGGAGGAGGGAGGAGGAGGAACAGGCGGATGAGGAGTAGGGGGGGGAGGAGAAGGAGGAGGAACAGCAGGAGGAGGAGGCGGAGGAGGGTGAGGAGGAGGAAACGGGCGAGCAGATGCGCCATTTGCATTTAGAATGCCTCTCGGGTTATCTTCGGGCGGCTCTTAGACGCTTTTTGGAGGCCTCTTGAGGCGTCTGGGGGGCATTTTCGCAGGCCCAGTGGCGTTTGTGAGCGTCGTGGGTGCCTCGGGGATCTTCTTGAGGCCTCTTGGGATCTTGGGGGTCCTTGGGAGCATCCTGGAAGCCTTTGGGGGGGGTTTTTGGGGGCCTCTTGGGGCTAACTTTGAGGCCTCTTGGGGGCCTCTTGGTCTTTTGAATGCCTTTCGGAATCTTTTGAGATATCTCTCAGGCGCTTCTTGGAGATATCTTGGGACGTTTCGGGGGTCTCTTGGGGCCTCTTGGCGGCCTCTAGGGGCCTCTTGGAGCCCTCTTCGGGCCATGGTGGGGGTTTTTTGGGGCCTCTTGGGGGCCTACTACCTACACGCACGGAATCCCGCACAGCCCACACCAACGGAACATCAGACTACCTACACACACGGAATCCCGCACAGCCCACACCCACGACACCCAAACCAACCCACGACGACGGAACCCAGAACAGCCCACACCACCGGAACCCAAAACTGCTCACACACTCGGAACCTAAAACAGTCCACACCACAGGAACTCCAAACAGCCCACAACACCGGAATCCAAGACAATCTACACACACAGATCCCCATACAGCCCACACCAACGGCACCCAAAACAGCGCACACCACCGGAACCCCAGACTACCTACACACACGGAATCCCACACAACCCACACCAACGAACTCAAAACAACCCACACCGACGGAACCCAAACCAGCCCACACCACCGGAACCCCAAACAACTTACACCGACGGAACCCAAAACAGCCCACACCACGGGACCCCCAGACTAACTACACACGGAGTCCCACGCAGCCCACGCCAACGGAACCCAGGACAACCAACATCGGGCCGTCCGCACGCCAGCTCGGGGTGAAGAGCTGGTCCGGAGTTGGCTCCTCGTCAGGGGCCCGACTCTTGCAGGACCCCGCGCCCCTCGCGCCGATTTGTCGGAGGTTGATAGAAGTACCCCTGGCCCAAGGCACCCCGAGGGTTCTCGGGGTGGCCCAGGCGGCCTCCAGGGCACCCCTCACGAGGCCCAGAGGGCCCCAGGAGCTCCAGAATGGAGGGAAAAGCTGGGTGTTCCCTGGGCCGGGGGCACTTCTAGCAACGCCCGAGATTTGTCGGAGGTTGATAGACCTCCTACCCTGACACGTCGATTCGTGAATGAGCAGTGTTCGGTTCGCGAGAGGCGTCGCGGCCGTTATTCTTGCGGGTCCGGGTCCGCCGGTTTCGGTCCTGGGCTGTTTTCGCCAAAGGGAGGTTTACGAAAGGGAGGCTTGTCCACCGCCGAATTTTTGGAGGCCAGGGGGCCTTCTCTGTCACCCTCTCACGCGTGCAAGCCGATGGCTGCTTCTCAGGGGGGGCCCTCGGCCCCCAAGAGAAAGGCCCTCGGGCGTCTTGGTGAGGCCCCCTCTTGCTGCACCTTCCTGCTTACAGCGGGCCTCCTTAGCAGTGGGGCTTTGAAAGGGCAGAAGCGCCCCCCCCCCGCCTTCTCACCGTCGTCACGCCAACATACTAATACTATGTAAGTGTGATGCCCCGCCAAGGGCGACGCGCGCACCAAGAAGTCCTGTAGTAAATACATCGTGGCGGGCGATTTCCTGCCACACCGCTCGGGAAACGATGCATTACAAAACGGGTATACTATCTGTTCGGGTCGGACGCGCGCCTCCAAGGAGGGGAGACAAAGCACCATCATGTCTTTGGGCGCCCCATCTCGGAGGGCCCCCCCCTCGACGCGCCGCAAGGGCAGATGCGGCGGTGGAGCCAGAGGATCGCATCGCCCATGCGCCGGCGACGTCTCGGCGAAGGTTCTGGATCGAGCCACGTCGCCAATGCATCGGCTTTGCGGCGCGATCCTCCGACTCCATCCGCTCGGGCCCCACATGGGGGGGCCGTGGGTGATTTTGGGGCATGGAGGCGAGCAAGGCGGGGGAGGTTACAGAGTGAGCAGGAGTGGGGGGGTGACCGAGGATTGGCACGGGTGCCCAACAGCAAGCGTTGCCCATCACGGGGCACGGACACGATGCTCCGTTTGGGCAGTCTGGAGGGGTGGGGCGGCGCCGAGGTCGAGGCAGAGAACTTGACGGAGTTGCAGGAGCCGCAGCCGCGTGGGCGCCCCCGCGCCTCGGTGTGAGTCTCGCAGGCAGCGTCTCTGCCCTGTCCTGTGGCCGAGGCCGCGTGTGACGGTGACGGGACCGCCACGAGGAGGAGGGGCCTTAAGTCGGGGCTGGACAGAACCCCCAACAGTGACACGTCGATTAGTGAATTGTCCGTTTTCGGTTCTCGAGAGGGCGCCGTGGCCGTCATTGCCCAGGCTTGCGCCCGCCAGGTTTGGGCCTCAGGTCGTTTTCACTAAACCACGTTTTCCTAAAGGGGGGTCTGTCCATCCCCGATGAAGGGAGATCGAGTCGGGCAAAAATGCGTAAGTGCATGCTCGGATCCACGCAGGCCCCCCTGGCGCGTGTTGCGCGCCTGCCGAGGGGGGCCCAGTACCGATTCAAGAAATCCGTTCGAACCTCCAACAGTTTACGCTTGTTTCGGTTTTTCTTTATCGAGGTGGTGCAGGAGGTTCTTTGTTGCTCTCGGCCTTCCCGTCGCAGTGAGCGCGCAGGGCGAGACGCCGATCGCTGGGCCCAGCCCCGCAATCCAGGACAAGGGGTGGACCTAAACGATGTTTTGGCGTTTTGGGTTGTTTTCGTTTCGATGTCGTTTTGCGCTATGGCGGATTGAAGACAAAACGAGGGAAAACGATAACACATCGAACACGAAAAACACCGTTTAGGTTCAGCCCTGCCCAGGACCCGTGCCCCTCAGGATCTTTGATTCGCGGCCAAAGCAGGAGGAGGAGCCTGGAAGCTGTCGGGCGCCAGGGGGGTGAAGCTGAAAGGGGGTTCCTCCGCTGCCAATTTCGAATTGTTCTCGTCTCTGGCCCGATGTCTTCGGCACCCCTCTCGTGAGACTCTCGATGGGACGTTGCCTCCCACAGGGAATCGGAAGAACACTCCCAGCGGGAAGGGGATGAGAAGGTGTAAGAGCAGAAGCATGAGCAGGAGGAAGAGTAAAGTTCTGCCATTAGCTGCCTCGCTCATTCCAACCCGCCCCATGACATTGGTAGGACCGGAGCCTCAGTGGACAGCGATCCTAAGATCGCCATGCCGTGGACGAGCTGCTTGGGTCAGTGCAGTGTGGGGGCAAGCAGTGGCCGTGGAACCGATGCTCGGGAATAGCCTGAGCAGATCGCGAAGTCAACCATATTGTCTTCGCTGGTCTTTCGATGATATGGGGGCCTTTTGAAGGCTTCTTGGGGCGATATGTGGGTGCCGTTGCAGCAATATGGGAGGCCTTTCTGGGTTGCCTTGGGTCCATATTAGAGGCCTTGGGGGCCATCTTGGCAGACAGCGATCAACAAAAGGGGCGTCACTAATCAGCCTCGCCCGAGAGGAGCCCGAAACATCGTCCTCAACCACCTGAGCCTGGATGGCTTGTCGGATTCCATGAAATTTTCGCGGCACCATGGCGAGAATGGCATTTCGTTTTCGCACGGGCCACGTGCGCGCATCACGGACATGGTCTCGCCATGAGTCACGGTTTGGCATTCGGCTGCTCTCATCGTCTCTTGCCATGCGGTTTTGGCCGGTGTGTCCGGGTTTTCGGTGGCGACCAGGTGATCCCGCGTTGGAGTCTTTGCTTGATGCGTTGGCGATTTGCATTCAAAACGTCCCGCTGCTGTGTTATGTCTGGTGCGTTGAGTATGGATCGACGTCACGGGGTCTTGCAATTGCATTTGGTTCTCCGCAAGGCGCCGCCCCCTGGACTGCGCGGCTGTTCAGAAGATGCAGTTGAGATTAATTTTTCGCTCGCGAACACCCATTCAGCAGGAAGGCAGGTAGTCATTGGGCCGCCATCAAAAACTGAAGCCAATTGCGCGGACATTGGCGCGTAAGCTGCGCCGCACGTGAGGTCACACGAAAGCGCCGTCGTTTCAACGCGGGGTGCCCAGCTGGCGGGCGGCCCGCGCAAGCCACCGCATAAAGTCGCCTTGTCCTACTGCGGAAAGCCCAATTCCTTTCCGACGCTCCGCAGGGCCCTCGTAAGACGCATCTCCGCTAGAGCCTCCAGGGCTCCAGGGGTTCAGGAAGTGGTGGCGGTTCCGCGACCGGGGATACGGAGGGAGGCACAGTCGGGGCCCTGAAGAAGGAACCCTTTTCGTTGGGGAGGGGCTCCGTGTTCCTTGATTGCTGCACAGTTTGCCTTGGGTTTTGCTTTGGTTTTCGATGGGAAATCGAAGTCCAACTTGTGGATCTAAGGAGCCTTGTTCCTTATTTAGGGCCCCTTGGATCAACGCTCCGACTGCGCGTAATGTTTTGGGCCCCCCAGGCTCTCAGAAAGTGCGTGTGGGCGGGGGCAGCGCACGTTGCATGTCAGGGGTACCCACACGGCGGAAGGGAAGAGCAGGCGCGGGGGTGGCGAGGGACAACTGAGGGGAGGGGCAGGAGCAATGTTAGTTCGTTCGAACTTGGGGGCCTTGAAACGGATGGGTTGGAAGAAATTGGCGCGCAAGCGGGGTGGTGGCATGGAAAAGATGCGTTGGCCATCGAAGTACATGTTGGACTCGAGGGTTACTTCCATTCCAGTAGTTGGGGATGTGATTCGAGATGCTATCTCGCATCCCGTGGAGATATAGATGTGAGTTTAGTCGGCTCTCACCAGGCGTAGGGTGCCTGTGTCTGGATGCACGCTGCAGCGCGGCGCGCTGCATTGTTGTTTCTGGCCGCGCGGCATCAATGTCGGCCAGCCAGGGTAAGTGCAGCGAGGGAGATGTGTCGAAGCGAGTTCGAACCACAATTGCCGTTCGCATCGATTTCTACGGTTGCACATGCGCGGTTCAGTAAGATATTGAAAGCACGATGCATCGATAGCACGGCTGCATTGGGCAAGATTTCCGCACGTTCTCACGCATTTTTGGTGTACACATTGGTGTACACACCCAAGGACTACTTACTTACTGGGCCGAAACACATTTTCATGGACATCGACGAGGTCGTTACCATGCCAGATTTCCCCTTCGCGGGGGGCCTGCCATACACCGAGACCTTTCTGAACACGGTCAAGTCATCAAGTCCAGGGGAGAGGAGGAGACGCAGGACACATTGGTTTGGACGCCCGAAATGGGCACGGAAATATTGGGTACAATGCCCAACAGCAAATGTTGCCCCAAGCCAACAGCGGCCGCTGTTGGGCAGGCGGCCTTCTGTCTCGAATGGGCACAGGCCGCGGCGGCGTGGACAGTGAGTCGCGTTCAAAACGAACAGGAATTGCTGTTGGGCATTGTACCCATTCTTTCGGTGCCCATTTCGGGCGTCCAGAATTGGCAATGACGAGGACAATCAGCTGAGAGGAGTGGGCAGGTCGTCGCGATTGTCAGATCACCCTCGGGCAATAGAATAAAAAATATTGCATGACAGGTGGGAGGGCAGGAAGGGGAGGAGGGGGGAAGAGGAGCCAGGGAAGAACAGCGGCCGGGGGATATGGAGAGGTGGGAGAGGGGTGAGGAAGCTAAGGAACTGGAGGAGGAGAGCAGCGGGCGACGTGGACGTGCGAGACGAGAGGAGAGGGATACAATGGGAGACGTGGACGGGCGAGGGCGGGGGGGGGGAGGGCGACGAGAGGGGAGCGTTGGCGGGGAGGGGACAGGAGGAGGGAGGAGGGGAGGATCATTAGCTAGGTGCGTTTGCGCCATATCGGACCTCCCGCCCCTCACACCCATCCCGTCCCATTGCGCTAAGTGTTATCTATATGTGGACGAGTGTCATCGCGGACCTGGACCTCCCTGAGAGATCCAATCGTGTTAAGCGCAATCTGAAAGGGGGAGATGAGCAAAAGGAATAGGAGGATGAAGGAGGAGGACGAGGACGAGTGGCCCGCGCTGGGGCGAGAGCGCCATTCTGATGAATGGGAGCACAGCGCCCATCTGACGATGAGGTCTACGCTGCAGCGGGAGCACCAGTTCGAAACACCGAAAACAGTCGGATGGCAACGCGACCGTGAGAAGCATTATGTTTGCCCAAGCCTCTGCGTAAGCAACAAACCTGGTGAGGACGGGGCATTTTTTCTGGACGGGGTCAGGGGGGGAAGAGGGGAACAGTTTTCATACTGTGTATTTGTTGAGGAGAAGGAGGAGGAGGAGGAGGAGGAGAGCCAGCGAGATTTGCGACACGGAGCGGGGAGAGGGGAGGGAGAGGGATATGTGGGATGATCGGGGGGAGGGCCTGCCTTCGTTCCTTCTCTTTTTTCGTCTCCGTCTGCACGGGCAACTTCCATTCTCTTCCTCCCCCCTCGCCTCCTGAGCTCGGGGCCAAGGGCCGCATCTCGTCGTGCGAGGCTTGCCCGCGATGGCGCGGGGCAGCGTCCTGGCCCCCGAAGCAGGGCCCCCCCCCATGCCACTCGCTGACACGGGGGGGCGCCCGGCATGGAGCCACGCGGGTGGTTCCGGACAGGCCACTTGCGTCTGCGAGGGAGGACCAGATCGGCGCGCAGAGTTTTCTCGATGAGTTAGGTCGTCGAGGCCGATTCGGAAATCCGTTTCAATGCTTTGTCTTGTTTCGTCTCCTCCTCCTGCCCTTCTCTTCCTGATGTCCCGCTTTGGCCCCCCGCCCCTCGAAACTCGAAGCGAACAGCCTATATCCCCATCTAGGGGCGCAAATCGGTCAGTGCGGCCCAGGCCATGCCCGTGGGGATCGGGATCGATTCAAGGATAGTCGACGTCGATGGTCGTCGATGATCGTCGGTCCTTTAATCAATCCGTCGATCGTTGAACCGCCGATCGTCGATGCGGCCCTCTTACCCAGAACGGTTTTGACCACATCCGGCTGTTACTTTTAATCCCCTTTGATGGTCCACAGGCCGTGCTTCTCCTCACGGCGCCCGCGTTTCGGTGGTGGATCGGATGTCGATGGCCCCTTGCCGAGGGCATTGCGCTGCCCCTTCTCGGCTGCAGCTGTGGGGCCATCTGGCGAGGCGGGCGTCTGCGTCTGCAGCGCGCAGCATGGTGCTCATCAGTGCGTGCCTGCTGCAAACGCTCTTCTGGCGTTCCTTGTCTTCCTCCTGCCCCCCCCTTCTGATGTCGGGCGCGGTCGCCGTCGGGCCTGTCAGCGATGCGTGAGACGCAGCATGACCCATCGCATTTAGACTTCGGCTGTGTTTGGGGCACAAGCCTATCGTGACCGCCCTTGTGCAGGTAATGCCAGGGGAAAGACGCACCTCAAGGTAACACCCAACGGGACATTGATAGTTTGCGCGAGTTGCGGTTGCAGTTCCGCAGAATGCCGAATCAGCCAGCTCAGTGAGCCGTGCACGAACGCTCTGGCGAGTGCCACTTCAAGTCCATTATAAGCAGAATGTGAACATTTTTTGACAAAGAACAATCCGATACCACTTATCTTCCACACCAGCAATGCAAGCATAGTGTTGGTTCTCGAAGAACCTATTCCTGTGGGTGCGTTTCTGTAGTGTCCGATTGTAGGGCCGTTTGTTGCGAGGCTGCTTGCATCGTTCACGAATTGGTGTTGGCTACATTCCATCTCCCAGGTTTTGCGTTTCACGTCCGCCTGCTAGCATGCACTGAGCGCCAAATCCTATCCCTCCTCGTGCTTCGCTTGCCGTTCCTGTTCCTGCCTGCGCCTGCCCCCCCTCCTCTTGCTTCCGTTGTTCCGTTTGTGTGTTTGCATTTCGTGCTCATCCTGATATTCCTTCCTCTTCTCTCAATCCAGTCGGCCTCCGCGTGGGACCCGCACCCCTAACTCCAAGGGGGGCCGACGGGACAGCCGAGAACAGCGTCAGTTCGCTCGGGAACGGCTTGCGCTGGTGGGAGAAGGGCAGAAAAAGAAGAAGAAGAAGAAGAAGGACAAGAAAAAGAAGTAGGGGAGGGAAGGGGGGGGCCATTGGAGGAGGGCGGGGGCAGGTGTCGTCGCCCGCCTGCCCGGGCAGGTTGGGTCGCACTTTCGGAAGCTCGATGGCGAGGGTCGCCCCGCACTCATGAGACGCACCCGGGGATGATTGCTTTTCGCACTGCCGATGGGGGCCCCCGTTTGCCTCGGAAGCAAGGCTTTGCGGGAGACTTGCTCCTCTTCCTGCTCCTCAGTTTGCCCCCCCGTCCCTTCGCCACCCGCCTTCCCGCCTCCCTCATCCTTTATCGCAAACCCTAGCTTCGCCCTCTTCTCCCTGCCCCTCCCCCCTGCGTCGGCCCCTCATGCTCCTCCTGCTCATGTTGCGCCTGCTCGCGGCCCTGCTTCCGGTCACCCTGCTCCACCTCGTCCTCTTGGCATCGCTCGGACGTGTGCATTTTCCTCTCGGGGAGGACCATCGAGGAGCATCCTTGATCATTTGGCGAAAAAGCCACGCACGAAACCGAGAAAAAAACACAGGGAATGGACGTCCGAGCGATGGCCAGTCCTCGCTCTGGCCCCGCTGCTCCCCCCTCCCATTCTGCTTCCTCGCCCCGCTCCTGCCGCGCTCCCCTCCCCGGCCCCCCATTCCCCCTCCCCCCATATCTCCAGCCTCGTCCGCCTCCTCGCGGATGTTCGCGCCCTATCTCTCTCTCTCTCTCTTTCTCCCCTCTTCCTCAAAACAAGCCTCCGCCTCTTCCACCCGCGAAGCATTGCATTTGAAGCGGGGACCGCTGCGGGCGAGTCTGGGTCGACGGGCGCCCTTGCGGGAGGTGCCAGCTGCAAGTTGTCGCAGGCCCATTGGCCGAAGATATTTGGCTTCCTGGACCCTCGCCTTGGAGTGCATGAAGCTGTCTGTTCTCTCGTTCTCCTATTCCTGCATCTCGCGGCAACTGCTCTCACATCCTCCCTCACGCCCCCTCGTCCCCCATCGTTCTCTTCGTCCTCGCTCTCCGTCCTCTCCCCCTCCTCGCCCTCCAGGGGTCAGCTCGGTCCACGTTGTTCACTCTTGTCCTGTTCGCATCACTGTCCAGATGAACTTTGTGGGGTTCAGTGCGGCGTACTTTGTGGGGTTCAGCCCTGGCACCATCGTCTGGAGTTCAGTGTCCAGCCTACGCCGCAAAGTCCTGCATCTGCCAGGTTCGTTCCCGCCCCTGCCGATGCTTCCAGCCCTGGCATGCCCCCACTTACACGGGGGTCTCAGATTCCACGCGCACATCGCAAGTGTGAACAGGTCGTCTTTCGGGCCGGACGAAAGGGGGGGATAGGGAAAGGGGGGGGTTACGAAATTTGCTGCATGCAGCTGGTTTCGGCCCCACCGAGGGGCCCATTCCTCGATACATGGCCGCCTCCCGCGCCGGGAGGCGCCGGGAAAATCAGCTACGTGAGCTGGTTCTCAAACCCCCCTTTGCTATCCCCCCCTTTCGCCCGACCCGAGTCTTGCGCGCCTTCGCACAAGCGCTCCATCATGGAGCACCGCCAGCTGTTTCAGTGCGCGGTCTGTCAGCACCGTGCGCGGCCACGCTCGCGCATCATCTCCTTTTTGCCTTCCTGGCCGCGAAAGGTGCTGGGATGTGTGAAGGCGTTTGTTCAGGCACCTCTGGGGCCCGTAGCTGACCGCCTGCGCCTCAAACGAGGCCCTTCGCCCATGGTTTACCACGGTCGTCGGTCGACCTTTGAGCCGCGAGCGCGGAAAGAGCCATGCCCCACTCGCAGCAGGCGCGGCTCACGCCAGGCCCGCGGGCGCAGGCCTCCCCCCTCTCCCCTCTCCCCCTCGCTCGTCTCGGCAGTCGTCGATCCCGAGGCCTGCAAGACTTGGCATCGCTCGGACGCGTGCATTTTTCCGTCGGCGAGGACCATCGAGGAGCATCCTTGATCATTTGGCGAAACAAACCGCGCACGAAACCGAAAACAACACAGGGAATGGACGTCTGAGCGATGGCGAGAAGAGCTCGCGGCCCTGCTGTTGCCCTGCCGCCCCCGAGGACAGAGGCCGCGTCGCGGCGCCCTTCAAGCTGGTGGACAGCGCGTTCCCCGCCGTGATCAGGCCCGGGGGTGGCGGCCAACCGGGGCGGGAGACGGCGGCAGAGCTCGGCCCGCGTGCTTGCGAGGGCCTCGCGGTCAGGAGTGGTGGGCCGCACGGCCCTGTTTTGTTCGGGGGTGGACAGAACCCCCAGCAGTGACACGTCGATTAGTGAAGTGTCCGTTTTCGGTTCTCGAGGGGGCGCCGTGGCCGTTATTTTCCAGGCTTGCGCCCGCCAGGTTTGGGCCTCAGGTAGTTTTCACTAAACCGCGTTTTGCTGAAGGGCCGCACCTTAGTGGGCCCTGGAAACGACAGGGCCGTTTTTTACCGGTTCCGTTCTGCCTTTTTTGGCCGGTTCCGACGCCGTTTTTTTTCCGGTTCCGTCGCCGTTTTTTAACCGGTTCCGGCTCCGGCTCCAATCCTGGAGCCGTTTTTTGCCGTTTCTGGTCGCCGTTTTTTTGCCGTTCCCATGTTCAAGGGACATTTTTTTGGAAACGGTGAAAAAACGGCCCTGCCGTTTCCGGGGCCCGCAAAGGGCCGCACGGCCTTGTTCTGTGCAGCACCCAGCGGTCAGAGTGTCTGGGCGTCGATTCCACGCGGAGTCTTCATCTCTCGCTTGGTTCGTGCACACACAACTTGTCTTCTGTTGTGCTGCCCGGCGATGCTACTGGAGCCAATGGGAATAATTGCCCTGAGCAGGGCTGGCCAGAAGGGCTGGCCAGAGCAAGACTCCGACAGGAGTGCTTCTTACCATAACCCAGTGCTCGTCTGAAACCGGCAGCGCAGCGACTGCGCGCAGAGCGCGTGCAGTGGCACTCGCCCAGTTGCGCACACGTTTTCGGCGTTTGCTTCTGTCGGTTTTGGGAGGAAGGATGGGGGAGGCTCGAGGGGGACTACGACAGCGATCGAGAACGGTGAGGCGGCGAAGGGCAAAGGAGGAGAAGCAGGAGCAACATCAGCAGCAGGATTAGGGCAGTGTAATCCCAGCGCGCGTCATTGATACTGCAGTACGCTCTCCCGTGCCAATTCTCCTCATACGTTAATGCGTGCACTTAGTTTTGTTGGGGCCATCTTGGAGGCGATCGATCAAAGAAGGGGGGTTCCCTAATTAGCGTCGCCCCTCGAGAGCCTCTAAAACCGCCTCTTGGGGCCCTCTTGGGCCGCCCATGGAGCGCTCTTGGGCGCTCTTGGGGCCGTCTTGGGGCTCTTTTGGGCCCCTCTTGGGGCCTTCTCGGGCCCTCTTGGAGCCATCTTGAGGCCTCGGATGGCTATCGGAAGCGAAAAGGCTTCTTTCCAGCGGTGGAGGAGAGTCCTTCGGCAGCCGTTTGAAGTCAGCGGATGAGGATATTTCGGGGGGGGGAGCCAGCGGGTGAGGATCTATCCTTGAAGCACGCCCCCCGCAAGATCGTGGATCACGTCCCAGGGGGCGTCCCTTGAGACATCCCTGTGCTTCCATTTCCCGTGCGCATGTCCAAGTCGTGTTTATCCTCGTTGTCCCAGTGGGAACCGCCTCGAATGCCTCACCCAATCGCATGCCGAAACGGGTTCGGGGCTGGAGCTTGACCCCGCGTCGTGGATAGATGGAGTTGCTCTCTGCCTCGCGGAGAGACTGGCGCCCCCTTCGCATGTTGTTTCCCCTTGTTCCCGACGCATGTTGGATCGCAGCCGTGTGGCTCTGGAGCACAGGAAACTCTGCAGTTCTGCAGTAGGCGGAGAGACACCGACGCGCCGCGGACTGAAGTACTTTTCCAATGGCTGGCGTGCCTGATCCTGGGCAGGTGGGCATGGTCGCTGTTCCTGCCTCGCCCCTGCCCGCGCCGTGCACGCCCCCGCCGGCGCCGTCCACGCCACCAGCCGCGGGCATTACGGCAGCACCGATTCAGGACGAGACGGCCGCCATGCGAGCGGAACTCACGAGGTTGCAGGCGGAGAACGCGAGCTTGCGGGAGGAAGCTCGTGTTTCGGTCCCCGGCGGCGCCGTGGAGGTGGCTGCAGTGGGCTGCGGCGAGAATCCGGCCGAGGACTCCGAATATGGGGGTTACCGAGGCTGGCGAGATTCGGAGGGGCCAGGTGGAGTCAGCTGGACGTCTCGGCCGGGTAGTGCTGAGAGGCCGCATGATGAGCGCGGAAGTCATTCTTGGGCTCGTTCATGTTCAGAGGGGCAAGAGGCGACTGCGACCGCGGCCTGGGAGTGGAAGAGCTGGGGTACGGAGTCCAGTGCGGGCGCTGCAGTGGACGAGTCCTGGCAGCCGCCTGCGCGTGCATGTGTTCAGGCGCGTGGCGCCGGAGGGGGCCGCAACTGGTCTCGCTGGGAGGAGGACTCTTGGGGCGGCCATTCCTGGGGCAGTCCTGGTGGAGATGCCTCGGACGGCGGGGCGGGCTGGTGTACAACAGCGCAAGAGGAGGCCAATGATCAGGACTTGTACTCGGGCGTGGGATGGGCGCAGAAAAGGGCAGGACATGGGTACGATACGGCTGACGAGCCCGACAGGTCGGGTAAGTGGCGACGCGTGCAGAGTGATGCGCCGGATGATTGGTACCCACGTTTGTGCCAGGAGATCGCCAAGCACCCCGTGGGACCATTCAACGCGGCTGCCGTGGTGATCGGTGTCTCGCCCGGGGGACGTGGTTACGGTATGGGCTGCCCAGGTCTCTGCCAAGTACCACAACCTCGTGGCCGACGGAATGAGCACGTTGATGCCTTTGCGAGGGGGGCCAGGTGGGAGGCGGGGAGGGGGGCGTTTGGGCGTTTTTGGGGAGAAGTCGTGAGGGTCCCAAGAACAGAGGCACTCTGGTTGGGGTGGCGGGGCCGGTCGGGAGGGGGGCGTTGCGGCGTTTTTGGGGAGTTAGGAAATCGTGGGGTGGGGGTCCCAAGACAAGGCAATCTGGGTTGGGGATGTCGGGGCCAGGTGGGGGGCGGGAGGGGGGCGTTGGGCGTTTTTTTGGAGAGGAATCGTGGGGTGGGGGGTCCCAGAACAGAGGCAATCGGGGTGGGGGATTGCCGGGGCCAGGTGGGGGGCGGGAAGGGGACGGTGGGAGCGGTGGGCGTTTTGGGGAGATTGGGTGGGAAATCGTGGAGTGGGGGGTCCCAAGAAAAGAGGCAATCTGAAGTGGGAATGTCGGGGCCGAGTCGGGGGGGGATGGTGTGGGCCAGTGGGGGGGGGGGGCGGGGCGGCGGGAGGGGGGCGTTGGGTGTTTGGGGAGAGGAATCATGGTGTGGGGGGTCCCAAGAACAGAGGCAATCTGGGGTGGGGATGTCGGGGCCAGGTGGGGAGCGGGGAGGGGGGCGTCGGGCGTTTTTGGGAGAGGCGTTTTTGGAGAGGAATCGTTGGGTTGGGGGCCTCCAGAGCAAACTTGGGCAATCTGGGGTGGGGATGTCCGGGGCCAGTGGGGGTGGGCGGGAGGGGGGCGTCGGGCGTTTTTGGGAGATGAATCGTGGGGTGGGGGCCCTCAAGAACAAGAGGGGTCCCAAGAACAAGAGGCAATCTGGGGTGGGGGGATTCCGGGGCAGGTGGTGGCGGGGAGGGGGGCGTTGGGCGTTTCTTTGGGAAAGAGAAATCGCGTGGCGGGGGTCCCAAGACAGAGTCAATCCTGTGGTGGGGAATGTCGGGGCGCCCGTGGGGGAGCGGGGGGAGGGGGGCGCTGGGCGCTTTTGGAGGGAATTCGTGGGGTGGGGGGTCCCAAGAACAGAGGCAATTTGGGGTGGGGATTTCGGGGCCAGGTGGGGGGCGGTAAGGGGGGCGTTGGACGTTTTTGGGAGAGGAATCGTGGAGTGGGGGGTCCCAAGAACAGAGGCAATCTGGGGTGGGGATGTCGGGGCCAGGTGGGGGGCGGGGAGGGGGGCGGGGCGTTTTTGGGAGAGGAATCGTGGAATGGGAGGTCCCAAGAACAGAGGCAATCTGGGGTGGGGATGTCGGGGCCAGGTGGGGGGCGGGGAGGGGGGCGTTGACGTTTTTGGGAGAGGAATCGTGGGGTGGGGGGTCCCAAGAACAGAGGCAATCTGGGGTGGGGATGTCGGGGCCAGGTGGGGGGCGGGGAGGGGGGCGTTGGCGTTTTTGGGAGAGGAATCGTGGGGTGGGGGGTCCCAAGAACAGAGGCAATCTGGGGTGGGGATGCCGGGGCAGGTGGGGGGGCGGGGAGGGGGGCGTTGTGCGTTTTTGGGAGAGAAATCGTGGGGTGGGGGGTCCCAAGAACAGAGACAATCTGGGGTGGGGATGTGCGGGGCCAGGTGGGGGGGCGGGAGGGGAGCGTTGGGCGTTATTGGGAGAGGAATCGTGGGTGGGGGGGTCCCAAGAACAAGGCAATCTGGGGTGGGGATGTCGGGGCCAGATGGGGGGGGCGGGGAGGGGGGCGTTTTTGGCGTTTTTGGGAGAGGAATCGTGGGGTGGTGGGTCCCAAGAACAGAGGCAATCTGGGGTGGGGGTGTCGGGGCCAGGTGGGTGGCGGGGAGGGGTGCGTTGGGTGTTTTTTCGGGAGAGGAATCGTGGGGTGGGGGGTCCCAAGAACAGAGGCAATCTGGGTTGGGGATGTCGGGGCCAGGCGGGGGGCGGGGAGGGGAGCGTTGGGCGTTATTGGGAGAGGAATCGTGGGGTGGGGGGCCCCAAGAACAAAGGCTACCTGGGGCGGGGGTGTCGGGGCCAGGTGGGAAGCAGGGGACGGGCGTTGGTTGATTTTGGGTGAGGAATCGTTGGGTGGGGGGTCCGATCGATTGAGGGCGAGAAATGGCGTGGTGGAAGCTCCCAAGAACAGAGGCTCCATGGGGTGGGGATGCCGGGGCGTGGTGGGGGGTATCGGTCGGTTTTGGGAGAGAAATACATGGGGTGGGGATGCCGGGGCGTGGTTGGGGCGTGGTGGGGCACA